AACGAAAAATTAATTAAAATAAATAAGAAATAAAAAGCGATTAAAAATAAATTATTATATGCTCTCTTAACGTTAATTGCTAGCTAAATTTTCATACATTAAACGATAAATTAATTAAAATAAAATAAAGTTAAGAAATAAACAATGAATAAGTGATTAGATGCTCGTCCAACGTTAATTACTAGCCAAATTTTTATTCTTTAAACGTGTATATTCAAAGAGTATTTATTTACTGATTCTATTCTAGTTATTTAACTGATTCTATTCCTTTTCAAATAAATTTGTAAATCCTCTAAAATTAGCCATTCTTTACTGATTTGATTCTATTTATTTAATTGATTCTATTAAATTTTAAATTATTAGAATCAGTTACAATTGTGGCCCAGAATCAGTTGCAATTGTGGCCCAGAATCAGTTGCAAGTGTGGCCCAGAATCAGTTATAACTGTGGTCCAGAATCAGTTACAAGTGTGGCCCAGAATCAGTTACAAGTGTGGCCTAGAATCAGTTACAAGTGTGGCCCAGAATTAGTTACAAGTGTAGTCTAGAATCATTTGCAAGTGTGGCCCGGAATCAGTTGCAAGTGTGGCCCAGAATCAGTTGCAACTATGGCCCAGAATTAGTTGCAACTGTAACTCAGAATCATTTGCAAGTGTGGCCCAGAATTAGTTAAATTGTGGCCCAGAATCAGTTGCAAGTATGGCCCAGAATTAGTTGTAACTGTGGCCCAGAATTAGTTGCAAGTGTGGCCAAGAATCAGTTGCAAGTGTGACCCAGAATCAGTTGCAACTGTGGCCCAAAATTAGTTTCAACTGTGGCCCAGAATCAGTTGCAACTGTGGTCCAGAATTAGTTACAACTGTGGCCCAGAATCAGTTGCAACTGTGGTCCAGAATTAGATGTAACTGTGGCCCTGAATTATTTGCAACTGTAGCCCAGATTTATTTGCAACTGTGGCCCAGAATCAGTTAAAACTGTGACCTAGAATTAGTTAACATTGTGGCCCAGAATCAGTTGCCACCGTGGCCCAAAATCAGTTGCAACTGTGGCCCAGAATTAGTTGCAACTGTGACCCAAAATTAGTTGCAACTGTGGCCCAGAATTAGTTGCAACTGTGATCCAAAATTATTTGTAACTGTGGCCCAGAATTATTTACAATTGCGGCCCAGAATTATTTGCAACTATAACCCAGAATTATTAGCAACTGTAACTAAAATCATTTGCAACTATGATCCAGAATCATTTGCAACTGTGGCCCAGAATTAGTTATATATTTGGACCAGAATTAGTTGCAACTGTGGACCAGAATTAGTTGTATATTTAGATTAGAATCAGTTGCATGTTTGGACCAGAATCAGTTGTATGTTTGAAACAGAATTAGTTGCATATTTGGAACAAAATCAGTTGCATGTTTGGACCAGAATCAGTTATATATAGACCAGAATCAGTTGCATGTTTGAAACAGAATCAGTTACATATTTGGACCAGAATTAGTTGCATGTTTGAACCAAAATTAGTTGTATATTTAGACCAAAATTAGTTGTATGTTTAGACCAGAATTAGTTGCATGTTTGAAACAGAAACAGTTACACATTTTACCAGAATTAGTTGCATATTTGGACCAGAATTAGTTGCTTATTTAGACCAGAATTAGTTGCATATTTGGGCCAGAATCAGTTGCATGTTTGGACCAGAATCAGTTGCATGTTTGAACCAGAATTAGTTGCATATTTGGACCAGAATCAGTTACATATTTGAACCAGAATCAGTTGCATATTTGAACCAGAATTAGTTGTATATTTGGACCAGAATTAGTTGCATGTTTGGACCAGAATCAATTGTATATTTAGACCAAAATTAGTTGCATATTTGGACCAGAATTAGTTGCATATTTAGATCAAAATTAATTGTATGTTTGTATCAGAATCAGTTGCATATTTGTACCAAAATAAGTTGCATATTAAGACCAAAATCAGTTGCATGTTTAGACCAGAATCAGTTGCATATTTAGACCAAAATCAGTTGCATATTTGAACCAGAATTAGTTGCATGTTTGGACCATAATTAGTTACATATTTGGACCAGAATTAGTTGCATATTTGAACCAGAATTAGTTGCATATTTGGACCAGAACCAATTGCATATTTAGACCAGAATCAGTTGTATATTTGGATTAAAATCAGTTGCATATTTGAACCAAAATAGTTACACATTTGGACTAAAATTATTTGCATATTTGAACCAAAATTAGTTGTATATTTGAACCAGAATTAGTTGTATATTTAGACCAGAATCAGTTGCATATTTAAACCAGAATTAGTAGCAGTTTAGATGAGAATTATTTGCATATTTTGACCAGAATTAGTTGCATTTTTGAACCAAAATCAGTTGTTTATTTAAACTAGAATTAGTTACTTATTTAGACCAGAATAGTTGCAAGTTTGAACCAGAATTATCATATATTTAATCCAGAATTAGTTGCAAGTATAACCCAAAATTAGTTGCAAATAGTTCTAAATTAGTTACAAGTATGACTCAGAATTAGTTTCAAATATAACTTAGAATTAATTGCAAGTATAGTTTATTATTAGCTATAAGCTTGATTTAAATTAAATTTATTTTAATTTTAAATTAGTTAATATTTTAGTTTAAAATTAATAGCTATTTAATTTATATTTAGTAATTTAAAATTAATAATAATTTTTAATATAAATTAGCTATAACTTTACTTTAAATTTGTTATTTCTTAAACTAATTGCAATTTAAAATAAATTTTTCTAAATATTTTTAAAATTATATCTTATAAAAACAAATTATAATATTTTTTAATATTTTTTTAAATACTATAGTTGAAACTTTATTTAATAAATAAAAAAATGAGTTCAGGTCCTATAGCTAAATGAATAAGCTCCTATCTTTTACAGACAAGATCGATAGTTCAAGCTTTGCTAAAGATAAAAATACTTTATAATCTAAAAAAAAAGTCTATTATCATATATAGAAGTCTAAATAAAAATATATTTTTAGTTTAAAAAATTTTTAGAAAAAAACTGATACAACAGAGTATAGATACTACTATAGTGAAAAATATAAAAAATATTATCGAATTTATGTGGAGGACCAAGATAATAATGGTCAGACCAAACATATATAGCAGACTATAGAATCTTTCACAGCTGTGAGAACTGAGCTTAAAATGGTGAGCAACCCATTAAAAGAACATCCATCCAAGTTATCACTAATATCATTAGACTCCTATGACTTGGAAATATGCTACAACAAATTTCTTACCTATTACAAACTCTCTTTACTAAGAGAACCATAAACTGTCAACTCTTTTCTACAACATCTAGTACAAAATAATACTAAGCATCTTGCATGTTATATCTTAATTACTATTAATAGTAACAAAACAGAAGCACATATATATTTATCTTATAAATCTAAAATGCTTCCTAATCACTATGTTCTATTTATATATGACTCTTATGATATTCCCTTAAAATTACAATTGAATACATCTATTTATTCCTCTACTTATACTAACTCCTACAGATTTATGGATATTACTAATATATTTTTACCAACGTCTACTAACAGAACAGATGATATACTTAACAATAAAACATGCTCAGATGATTCTGAATCTATTCCTACAGAACTACTTTTATTTCTACAAAACCCTTGTAATAAGGCATCAAACTCATCTACTTTATTTCTAGTTCCTACAAACAACATCTCTATTAACTATATTACTACTAACAGACTAGCCATGTTAGAGATTTGCATCTTAATATTGCAATATATAATGTTCGTAGTTTTAACACAACCACTAAAAGAAAAACCTAGCAAAACTACTGTCTTGATTATAACATTAGTATTGCTTGCATTACTAAAACAAAAATTTCAGAAAAACCTAACTTATCCTTTTATAATAATAATCTCTTTACATATTTCTGGGCCAATTCAGATAGCTCAGCAGAAGATGCTGCTATTATAATATACAACTTTCTTTAACTACATATTTACAATTGTCTTACCCACTCTGGTGGTGCTATTGCTATTAATTTATTCTTTAAAAACAACATTAAGCTTTGCATTATCTTAGTCTATCTTTTTTCTACAGATATAACAAAAAGAACTGCTACTCAAACTACTATTATTAATTGGATTCAGTCTGCTTTACAACATAATCTTTATCCTATTATTCTTGGAGATTTCAATACATATGATTTCAACTTGAGTTCTTTAGCAAAATATAGACTTATAAATTTTTTATACTATTCCAATATATATGATGTTGGTGCACATTTCGATAATACTCACCATATATGGTCTAACAATATTTACTCTAGCAGAAATGATGTTTAATATCAAGTTCCTCTTGTCATATAAACTAGATACTAGTGATACTAGTACCCGCAGTAATCATTTTATACTTAATATATCTTGGACATTTTCTAATGCTTATAGCAAACCTCCTTGTTAGTGTACAGATATTAGCTATCATATATTTAATTATAAAGATATGACCTCAGAAAATTGGTCTGAGTTTTCAGATCTTCTCACAACAAAACTCAATCAATAACAAACACCATTATCACTACAAACTTCTGAAAGTATAGATACTATATAGCATAAGATTGAACATTCTATCATAAATGCTACTACATCAACTATTCCAAACAAAATTAGCCATAAATGTAGCTATAATCACAAATACATATCTCATAGCACACAACTATATCTATTTCTTAAAAAACTCAGCTATTTAATCAAAAATTTAAAAAATACTAATACAACTATAGATATCTCTTCAGTTAATTTACAAATTCAGGATATTAATTCATGATCTCAATATAATCTTCAAACTCTTTTAAGTTCAGATTCTTCTCAAATTCTAGAATAAATAAATTATGCTTAGAATATATAGTATTAATTGTACCAAGCATGCCATACTGAAAACTCTCTTCTTCTCTGTCAACAAATCTAACAAGCTTCTGAAAAAAGGTGTGAGACTCTTGTCAGCAAACCTACACATGCTATCAACAGCATTCTTAATCGCTATCAAGCTTCTATATATTTTTCAAATATTAAATTACCAGATCAATTAATTACTAAGTTAACTCTTATTAAACAACATATTCAACAGCATTTTCATGACTAGACTGCTCATAAACCTATTAACCAAACACTTTTTGATAGTTTTTGACAACAAAAATATTTACCACAGACCTATATTAATCCTGACTAGTATAATACTCTTACTTTACCAATTACAATTGAAGAGATAACTTCAATTATCTCTAAGCTTCCAAATAGCAAAGCTTATGGACCTACTAGTATTAGCTATGAAATGATTAAGCACTCTGGCCTAACATGTTTACAAGCTCTTACAGTTTTTTTTAATCTTTGTCTTACCTAGTATCAAATTCCAAAACAATAGAAAAATAGTAGAATATTTTCTATACCCAAACATAATACTTTTGATAGCAACCACAATCTTACTTAACCAATTAGTTTTGTAGAACATATTTGCAAAATCTATA